GCAGGACAGAAACTTCTGACTACAGTCAAAGAACACACTAGGGATACCACAAGTCTACTGAAATCTCAAAGTTTGATCCCAGTGACATAACTCCTTTAACAAGATCCCACCTCCTACTCCAAACTGTTCTATCAGCTGGTGACCTAGTATTCAAATAGATGAAATTATGTGTGTCACTCTAATTCGAACCACCACTGATTTAGGATGACAAGATGAAAATGAAGGACAGCATGGATAAGAGAAGACGAGGAGAAGGGGAAAGAGGAGAAGAAGGATGATAGATAATAATCTCCAATGAGGACAGAAAAAGAAAATAACTAAAAACTACAGTGCAACATATATGACAGAGTAGCTGTAGACATATGTACAGTCACAGTACTACATTAAGAACTCCAATTCTTTTGTTATGCTGTAGGTATCTAGTGCATTCATGGTAACCTTAGATAATCTACTATAGGTTTTCAAAAATAGGAGTGGAAATAAAAGTCTAGGTTGATATTGACATAAAATGAGTGAATTTGTTTTTTAATTTCATGTCACTTCTTTACTTCCTGCCATATTATTTCTTAAAAATAGTGGACTTCCTTGGATGAAATGGCAGACTATTAATACCCCCAATGGAGGGCCTCACCCTCCCTGGGGATTGGGGGACCGGGGATGAGGGGTTGGTGGGAGGGTGTAGGAGAAGGGGAGGGAGAGAGAAAGGGAGCTAGGATTGACATGTGAGGCAACCTTGTTTCTAATAAATTTAAAAATAAAAATTAAATAAAAATAGTGGACTTCAAAAAGAGTAATACATCTTTACCTCAAAAATAAAATAACTTACATCTTTACTTCAAAAATAAAATAACTTATGATTGGTTCTGGGCTTAGCAGTCTTCTTTACCAAACATCTGTGAGACAATATGTAGAACAAGTAACTATCTGCAAGTAGTGTTACTTAGGCATTTTCATCAATCCAGCACTCAAAAAAGGAACATAAAATCTTCACTTTTACTACATGACCTGAAATCTTCATTCTAATTAATTTCCTTACTCGTACTTTGTGCTCACAGCTAATAATCAACACTAGAGGCTATATTTTCTCCTATATATCTAAAGTAAACCACTTATTATAGATAATAACTATATATGCTGAAAATTCAACCTGAATAATTATCTAGAAAAGGTAATAGATAATACCACTAGACAGGACATAAATTGGCACAACCAATTTTTTCTACACATTCTAACAATTCTACTTACCAGCAAACATAAGAAATGTAATTTTGTTTTTCCTTGGACAGAACAGATACTCATCTTAGATATGAAGAGATAAGACAATATTAATTAACCAATAAAGATCATACGCTTTTTGTTTTTGCTTTTGTCACATCCTACAGCTTAGTTGCCTTAACAGATTATAAAAGAGCAATGTCTTTACTACCTTGCCCTGTCTTCCTACTATCTATGTATTTTCAAGGTATTTTTCACGTACAAAGTTGGATCTGCAAGTAACCACAGACAAGCTAAACATACTACTGTGAATAAAGGAAAAGTGAGAACAATGATCAGGTCTAAAAATGAAAGGGTGAACTATTAGACAGCAGTCACCTGGAGATTGTATATAGCCACTAGCTTAAGTTCTTATAAGAGTAAGGTATAAACCAAACATTGGACAGAAAAAAATAATCCTTGAATTTATGGGAAAGGCAAAGCAATTTCTTATTTAAAGGACACAATACAGTTGTCTGTTTATAAATAGATTTGTGAGTGTACACATATATGTGTGTGGGGATGTGAGTTTTCCAAATAAGCAGTGAAAAATAACAGAAGAGAGTGATGATGTATATGGGAGAAGTAATCTAAATAGACCACAAATACCAAATATCATGGTCTTGGGCCCTAGATCTAATGGTAAAAACTACTTCCAGTTCAGAGTAACCTTGAATCTAAGTATAAATTTTAGTTCTAAGAATACAAAATAGAATTCATGATTTTTCTTTGTGGAGTATAGTACGGAGATTGATCCCATGGTCTTGTACATTCCAGGCAAGCTCTACCACTGGCTATGTCTCCAACCCTGGAAATCATATAATCTTGATATGCTGATGCAGTTGTATGTGTATGCAAAATATGCTAAGTCTATATATAGATTAACTTGATCCAAACAATCTATACAGTAATTTTAATCAGCTTGAACACAGGGAAAGCTAATGCTTCTAGAATTCCAAATTTCAATATAAAAACATTTCAACTGGCATTTTTAAAAAGGAAAATTTTCTATGCAATAACGTATAAAGTTAAAATAAAATTTAGTTTAAAATAACTGAAGTGTGGTGATTTTACATTGACCTTGCTTTTCCAATGGGATTTTAATACATGCAGAAATATAATTTTTTGCATATTATTTGCTGATTTAGATAGGTTCTTGTTATGTAGTCTGGATTGACTTCAAAGTCAGTCTTGCCTTGGTATCTCAGGCATGTGTTGCTGTGTCTTGTCAATGTTGGGGGAAGTCCTGTGCATTTGTCAATAAAGTACTGTTGAGCCTATAGGAAACCTAGATAGGAGGGACTAGGAGTCCAGGAGAACTCTGGGAAGGAGAAAGACAAGAGAGTCGACATGTGACGCCATAGGGGTAAGAAGCCGGGAACTATTCTCCGGTAAGAAACATACTTAGATTAACAATTATGGGGTAATTACTTAAGGCAGAGCTAGCCAGTAAGGGACAAGCAAGGCCAACAGCTTCATAATTAATATAGCCTCCTGTGTGTTTATTTGGGACTCATGCGGATCTAGAACCAGGCTGGCGCGGCAGAGCCCAGGTGACTGGCGGGGGATAAACCAAAGCGGCTAGCAAAAGAAAAAGATTCTCTTAACATGTCAATAAAATTTCTTGATTAATATTTCATTATGTTCTCAATGGATATTCTTATACATTTGAATGGGCCAGCTCCTTGCAGCCAGTTTGCTACATGGACACTCTGATGTTGACACACATTAACAATACTTGGGTATCCTTTGAAAGTGTCAGGCCGTGGACAAAAATTTTACTCTATTCCAGTGTTTGTTTTAGGGGTTTATATTGTTGATTTTTAAGCCTTAGGTGCTAAATCTCAATGAAACTGGAGAACTACTCCCACTAAACTGTATCATACATATCTAGTTAAAAAGAAAAGAGTTCTCATATGTAATTTGGTATCATCATTCATCATTCTATCAAGAGAATATGGTATGCCCCCAAACTAAAGGAAACCTAAATAAACTTAAACACATATACTCCTACAATTTTAATTCCTTTGTTAATCTTGTGGTAAAACTCTAGTAATCTGTTCAATTCTTACCTTAGGAAATAATTATCTTTCTCTCAGTGCTGTGTCACCTATTGTCAGTAGAAACTAAGTTCACTTGCCATTAAAAATATTTGTCCTGGAATAGTATACATGTCCTCCTTCTCTATGATGCATGCATTCATTAAATTAGTATGAGTCACTCTTAGTGCTGCTCACCTCTTTGTACCACTTAGACCAGTTAACACGTAGCTTTCATTGGTTTTATTCCTCTTCACATAATAAAACTAGTATATGGTAAGGGCTTGAGATCCTATCCATTCTTTTTTAGTGAAACCATTTTGACATGATTCTTTCTAAATGAGTCAGAGTTTTATTGCTCATCTTTGCATTTACTATAGATAGTCAGTGTCTAGTTAAGAATGGACATTTGACTGCTCTCCTACTGATTCAAGAGAAATACCCCAGCCCAATACTCTTTCTTTGTTATGTGACTGAGGAGCCTTTTAAAGTTACAACATTATAATACTATTCATTGCATATGCTGAGATTTTGATTTTTAATTTTTTCAAGTTAAAATTAACATTAATCATCAAACTCCACAAACTAACCAAGGACTAGTGTCACACATCTAGAATTCCATCTCTCAGAAGACAAAGGAGGATTGTGAGATCCAAGCCAGCTTAGGCTACATAGACAATATAATCCTATCTATAAGAATAAGTACTCCAGAATAATGGGCTATAGTTGGGATCTTTGGTATTTTTCCCTGCCTTCAAAGTACTCTTCTCACACTACTTATCTCAACATAACAAGCAATGGTTGCTTACAGTAAGCCTCTCAACTCCCTTGGGGAATCACATAAACATTTAATACAGGGGGACTAGGGAGTAGAGACTGAGATTTCTAGTGAATTTTTAGATGACATGCTTGATTTCTCCTTATATGAACTAAAGAGCCTTGGTCATTTTTGTAAACCATAAAACATACCCTTTCTATACTTGGGCTATAATTATATCATAGATATAAAACATTTTGGAAGAGGTGCTAACGATTTAGCAGTCCTTGAGACCTCTGATTTAATTCATTAATTCAACATTTTTAGACTTTCTCTTATGGTAAAGTATGGAGGAACATAAGCATTAGAGAACTAGGATACCCCTTTAAATAAAATCTAGCAGTAAATCCCAAACTAGATTTTAGTGAAACCATGTGGACATTCATTTTTTAAATGAGCCAGAGTTTGCCTTGACTAGTTACGGCTCACATGTTTTAGCATTGAATATAGCTAAATAATTATTTTACTAACAAACTCAAACAGGGAAGCTATTTGTTATGGAGAATTAATGGTCACACACACATAGCATCTGTTAGCTAATAGGTGCCCCCAAGCTTTAGAAAATAAGAACCTAAATTGGACATTTTGAAATTGAGTGTCCCCTATGCATACCTCAGTAATCAGTACTCAGGGGAAGGAGAAATATAAAAGTAGAAGCTATGACAAATGAAATTAATAAAATAATATTTTCACATGGTCTAAAAAAGAATCTATGCCTCTTCCCGTATCTTGTTTCTCTTTCAGAAAATGGAAGAACAATTTACTATGAGGAGACACATATCTGAAAAATAGACAAAAGTAAAGGTGTTTTTTAAAAAAAAAACAGAACAAAAGTAGAGACGGCCTCACTTGAGACATTCAAGTAACTCACACACTGTGACTTTGTTTGAGATGGAGGCTAGAAACTCCATGGGATTAAAAAATTTCATTAGCCAATAGGTATATTTGAGCAGGGAAGCAAGGAGAAGAAAGTGAGAAAGGGGGTGGGGAAGAGACAGAGTGAAGATACTAACTTTATGGGTCTTTATGGCCAGTCAAATAGCAAACAAAGTGCAATCTACTGCTCCCAGTATATACAGAGCTATTCTAACACCGTGCATCACACTGTTGTTGTTTGATGTTTTTTGAAGGCAGTTCTCCAACTTTATTTGACATTCAGCAGGTCAGCTCTCACCCACATTGACTGTAGATTTTTGAATGTGGTAACAGGCACGTAGGTTACCAATGTGTAAAACTTGTCTGGTGAGTCCTCATCCTTATTACATTTTCTGGGCAAACGTACACAGACACAGTATGGAACATTCCTTATTCCTTTGGCCCAGACGGCTTTATCGAGCCTGGTATCAATGCGGACATTTGGAGTCCCCATCTCCTTCATGGCAAATTTCCGGATTTCTTTGAGTGCCCGAGGAGCACGCTTCTTGAAGCCCACGCCATGGATGCGCTTGTGAATGTTGATGCTGATGGCAGAACGGCCCTTCTTCTTCTCGCTACCCTTCTTTGCGGGAGCCATTCTGCCGGGCCCAAGTTGGAAAGGAAGGTAGTGAGGAATTGTGGGCGTTGTTTGATGTTTTTAAGACAGGTTCTCACTATATAGCTCTCGCTGATATAGAACTCATTATGTAGACTAGGTTGTCCTCAAACTCATAGAGATCTTCCTGCCTCTGTTTCTCAAGTGCTAGGATTAAATATATGTGACATCAAGCCCAGCCCATTTGTGTTATAACCCAAGACTACAAGTGGATAATGCATATTGTGACTTTTTGGCAACTGATAGTGCTCCCAGTGAGTCACTTAAAAATAAACAGAGAATTTCAAATGGTGAGGAGCTACAAGCCACAACTCCAGAACAGTAATTATAACCTTTTCTCTGAAAACATTTCCAATTACCAGCTCCCAAGAACAGAATAATAGAAGAGGAGGTACCAAGCACATTTCCTTATGCAACTAAGTCTTTCCACACTAGTAGTAAAAAAGATTCTTTACTGGCAGTGCTTTTGGTACCCACCTAATGTTCACTTAATGTGCTTCAGAAAAATCACTATAAGAATTTTCAAATAGAAACAATTAGCATCCACAGTAATTAGTATTCTTTTTCCAAAGGCAAGAGGAGCTACTATGGCAGAAACTACTGATTGATTCTGCTCCCAGGCATCCTCAGTCACTATTGCTGCTACAGGAGCTGGTTAAAGGGCACGGTCTTATAGAATGAAACCATCTTTAAGTTTATTTATGACTACCTCCCTCTTTTTAAAAAAACCTCTCTTTCTAGGCAGACAGAATCAATAATTAACATACTCATCATTGCACATGACTTAGTCAAACCCCTTTCAACTCATATGAATTGTGTATTCATGTCCTTTTTCAGCCCATCCAAACTCTACTTGAATTGTAAGGCCCAGAATTTTTTAACCTCATCACAAACCTTTTCAAGAACATTGTGCCATATATATGTGGCCTGTGGACCGTAATTAGCTTTTGGTACTACCCATTTTTCCATTTTTAGTTATCTATAAATCCTTACATGTGAGGATAACAAAAGTTTATGGATATGTTGATTCCAGAGGAGAAATATTTCAAGTGCACATAAACTAAAAATATTTTTATGTAAATGAAACTTTGTGATGTAGATGAAAAACTAACAATTCACTTTCGTTGCACCACAGGGCAGAATTAGAAATTCTAAGTTACAGAAGCTGGTAATAATTATTTATCATGTATTTTCTCTATGTCCCATGTACTATATTGGCCATGCCCACATTTTGTCTGATTTAACTGCAGAGGACAGTCTAACAATATAACTGGTTACTAGTGAATTAGCGTGTCTTCAGAAACTACCAGCTATTTAAATTTCTTTTGTTTTGTTATTTTAAATGAGTATGTTTGAGGGTGGTTTCTTGTGCAACGAAGACTAAATGAAACAGAAATTTGTATCTAGAAGTACAGTGCTGTCATAACAAAAATTTGAACTGAGTCAAACTGATTTTTAGAATCAGGTAGGAGGCAGAGGCTGGAAAAGTGACAAGGAAGATGCTCTTACAATCTGTAGGCAGATAAGGTGTTACGAACACAGCTCCTCAGAAACAATCTGACCCAGGAATCTTTGCCTAAACACACAAAGTAAGTGACCCACACACATACCCAATATACAATGGTGTGATGTCAGCAGGCACATTCATTTAAACATAGAGAATAGAAGACACATAGAAGTTATTGATCCTTAGAAATTTCTAATCAACTCTTCTCATCAGAAATTGGAAAAAGGAAGTCATTCTGGGTGAGGGAAACGGCACTGGAAAATTTGAAATGTCCCATTTCGACACTTATAAAATATGGTCATTAAATAATGAAACAAACAAAATTGTCTTTAGAAAACAAATCTTCCATAGACTGCCCAGGCCTCCCAACTGATACCCACGCTCAGGGGTCCTAGTTCAATCCTTTGCAGGTTCCCTAGCTGTCAGACTGGGCTTTGTGAACTTCCACTTGCTCAGGTCAGCTGTTTCTGTGGGTTTCCCCAGCATGGTCTTTACCCCTTTGCTCATCACTCCTCCCTCTCTACAACTGAATTCTAGGAGTTTGGCTCAGTGCTTGGCTATGAATCTCTGTTTCTGCTTCCATCAGCTACTGGGTGAAGGCTCTATGATGGCATTTAAGGTAGTCATCAATCTCATTATAGGGGAGGGGCATTTAAGGTAGTTTCTCCAAAGTTTATGGGGCCTCTGGCAGTGGAACCAGTATTTATCCCTAGTGCATGAATGGGCTTTGGGAGCCCACTCCACATAGAGGGATACTCTCTCAGCCTAAATACACGGGGTGGAGGGGTGTCTAGGTCCTGCTCCAAATGATGTGTTAGACTTGATTATCCCTCATGGGAGACCTCACCCTCCCTGGGGAGTGGATGAGGGGTGGGATTGGAGGTTGGTGGGGGCCAATTTTGTGAGTCTAATATATATATATATATATTTATTTAGAAGACAATATCCATTTTAATGTGCAAATACTGATTTATAAAGCTAAGTATTTGTTATTTTAAAATCACAGGCCATAGGCCTTGTCTCGCTTCCTCAATTACACATGCCTTTTGGGAAATACAATTTTAAGGTGGCACTGTGTGTGCACATCCTGTTTCACATAGTTCATAGCTCTTAAAATGTATTCAGAGAGTGGATGGGTTCAGCCATAACAAGCACTTGTTCTTCCAGAGAACTGGAATTTGGTTCCCAGAACCCACTTTGGGTGGCTTACAACAGCCTGTAACTCCAGCCCCAGGGAATCTTACACCCTGCAAAGGTACTCACATGAATGCATTCACACACACACACACACACACACACACACGCAGAGTATCCTTTCAAAAATACTCAAGTCTACTTAAGGCTACACATTATTTACAGTAACATTATGTAGTAAGAATAATATTAATATAATATGAAATAAAAATTTGAGTACACACTATTTATCAGACACTTGGTGAGATATAAATTCACTTTACTTATCTCACAATGGTTCTTTAGTCAACTAAGCAGTCAAGACAACTAAGTTACAGGCTTGACTGACCCCCTTGTCCTTTAAACTGAATGTATTCTAAGAAAGAATTGTTCATCTTACAATCACTGATAGCTAGCTCATGTTTGGCCTGTACTGTTTATTTACCAAATTTTCTTCTGTATACAAAACATCATAGCCTATTAAATAATCTTTGAGGGTTATAATTATTTCCTATTTCTATTTTTTCTCTTATGGTAAGAAAAGTGCTCTCATTTGTTTAAAAATGATAATATCAGGCTGGTGGGATAGCTTAGTAGTAAAAGCATTTTACTCCAAGCCTGATGGCCTGGGCTTATTCCTCAAGACCTACATGGTAGAGGGAGAGAACTGACTTTTGTGGTTTGTCTTCTGACTTCTACTTACCTGCAATGTGGACCCATTCCTATAAAAATGTAATAAAAGCATTATCTTTATCAAAACTACTAGCTGATCTTCCATGATAAACAAATCATATTCAAGCTAAAAAGTCACGTGTTTAATACTGGATCCATGTTTACCTCAAATTATCATGGATTTGAAACATTAATTATATTCATTTTTACAGTTATTTTAACAAATTCCTACAAACATGGTGGCAATTTATTCTTCATAGTTTGAAAAGTCAAGAGTCAAAAATCAAGGTAGCAGATCTGCACTCTCTGTCAACCTCAAGGTGATTCTTCCTTCCTTATTATGTACAGACACACACACACACACACACACACACACACACCACCACCACACCACACCACACATTTAGGGCCCACAAAAATGCATAATAATCTTTTCACTTTGATATTGCTTAATTATACCTGCAAGGTGCAGTGATATTTTGTTTTTTTATCTAACAAATAAAACTTGCCTGAAGATCAGAGTGCAGAGCTAAGCCACTAGTTAGCCACACACCTAGCTAAGAGCTAAGCCACTAGTTAGCCACACTCCTAAGCCGATAGTTAGCTATAGAAGACAGGCAGTGGTGGCCACACCTTTAATCCCAGCACTAGGAAACAGAGGCAGATGGATCTCTGTGAATTCAAGGACATCCTGGGCTACATGAGAGCGAATCAGTCTAAAAAAGAAACAGAGCTCATACCTTTGACTACATCACTTGGGATGACACACCTTTAATCCCAGCACTAGACAGGAATATAAGGCAGGAGCTCAGTGTAGTCTCAGGGCAGTCTGAGGTTTGGTGGAGAGCATTGCAGTCTGCAGTCACTCTGAGGACAGGATCCCCCCCCCCACTGTGGTCTTAGCCTTGGTAGAGGTAAGAACTCTCTAGTGGTTAGCTGCTTTGTTTTTCTCATCTTCAGTTTGAACCCCAATATCTATCTCTGGGTTTTTATTAATTGTGTTACATGATGGGATTTTCTTCCAAGCAATGTATACTTCTGAATTATCTGTGAACCAGAAAGTAAGCCCTCATCAAACATTCAATATGTTGGGGCTTTGAATCTACAGTATCCAGAACTGTGAAAGTAATACTCTATTGTTTATAAGCACCCAGCATCTGATAAAGTTTTATAGTAACTCAACCTAACACAGTAAATACATTTTGTCTTTTCAGGCACCTCTGCTTAAAGTAATGGTACAACTTAAAATAGTAAGTATATTTAAAACAGCACATTTAAGCTCATAAATTATAACCTTCAAACGAAAGATTATTAAGAGAGTGAGAGATGCTAGATGTAAGTACTGAAATCAGAAAGAATCTGGAGCACCTTTGCTCTAAATGTTTCTTCATAGTAGGTGACGCTTTCATCACCTTAGGCTGAATATGGTGAGGGTCTTCAATCCATCATGGTGATGATGAGTCAGCACAAAAATATCCATAGTATACATTCATTCCACAGTTCTAATAAATATAGGCATTCATCCATTTCTTTAGAGTACTCAGTAAACACTGTATGCCAAATGCTGTAGAATAATGATCTCAAAACTGTGGCCCATATATCTCAGGTTTTTCCAGAGCTATGGACAGAATGACAGATTAAAAAGTGTGCA